TTCAATAATTAAATTATATGTTATAATGACCCTCACGCTAATCAGACACCATATTATCTGTTTTTGCCTCTTCCGAAAAAGAGACTTCCTGGGGGGTCATCCATCCTGATACTACTTCAGATTAAACACATTTAACTTTGAAGTTCTGGTAGGTTCACGGTCATTACGACTTTAAAACGCGTTGTATCATATAAGGGTGTAGAATCTACATATAGCACTTACCCCATCCACACCCGGACAATGAGGGATTGTGCAGCTATAGCTCGTCCAGTGTGGTAGTCTACTAGTGCCACCTGTATACACTCACACATACTCGCACACAAAGTCACCACAATCATCCCTTTTGGGGCCCAACGTCCTCGTTAACCACACTTTCGGCTGAGTTGTGCTCTGATACCATTTATAACGACCCTCACCTTATCCAGACATAATATAAGCATATAACCACACATATGTCATCAATTTATCAATTTCCTCTACATACATGGAACCCTAGAATCCAACAATGTAATTATCATTAAATTTGCATGCTAAAAGAGAGGAAAAAACATGAAATTATTTACAATACTAAAGGAAACTGACAATTAGATAACTTTACCTTCAATAATGCAAAAAGCCCCAATTTTTAAAATCCAAATGCAACTTTGCTCCGATCAAATTGAAGCCCTTACCGAGTACTTTAACTTTATCTTTTATGGCAAAGATCAAAACCAAAAGAAAGGAGGTGAAATCTTGGGTTGAAGTTTGTAAAGAGTGAAAGTGATATAAAGAGAGAGGGAGTGGTTCATGGCTACAAGAAGGAAAGAAATTGGCCAAAAAAATTTGATGTGTGGACTTTAGTCATGCCTTGGTCAACCATGGGTCCCATTTTGTCTAGCAAATGGTCTAAAATTCCCTTGAATGTAAGTACACCATATAATATGCCACAAATGCACACTTAAACACATAATCACACGAACATGCATCCAATCATAATAACAAAATGTAATGAACCCGAAAAATAGTCCCAAGCGCAAAAAATCTGGGCGTGGGGCCCACACGGGACCTCCCGGACCAAAAATCTGAAAAATGAGGAAAATACCCGAAATGCATTTATTTGAGTTTAGTGAGAAAACGGTTCAATACCATAACAATGTAAAGTTTGCCTGAGAATGACATCCTCACACAAATCATTCGACATTAAATGAAATCAAATAATTAACACCTTTCATACTCACACGACATACAACTTCAAACATACATAGCTATGCTAACAATATACATCAACATATAAACACTCAAGCACGTAGCAAGTAAGCATGCTTTTCAATCAAGAAACACGTTAGCTTATAAGCACGTAGACAATGCATACTAACTGCCATCTTACTTTAGGTAAGCCTCTATCCGTCGTCCTAATGGTTTTCGAACCATTATTCTGATACCATTTGTAAAGACTCTCACCCTAACCAAATACAATATTATTCGATTTTGACTCCCTTAGACCAGAAATTTCCCAGGGGGTCACCCATCTTAGTACTACTCTAGGTTAAGTATGCTTAACTCTGGAGTTTTGGTAGGTTCATGACCATCATAGCTTTAAATTGCGTTGTGTCACAGATGTTGAATCTACATATAGCACTTGCCCCATCCACACCCAAGCGATGTGGGATTGTGCACCAGTAACTCGCCTAGTGTAGTAGCCTACTGGTACCACTTGCACACGCTCACACACACCCGCCCACAAGATCGCCACAATCATGTACCCCCTTTGAGGCCTAACGTCCTCGTTGACCGAATCCTGTAGCCTTTCTTTTTCTTTCCTTTTCTCATTTTGTTCATTCTCTACCTATGTAATGCTACTATTGTACACCACGTGAAGTAATTGTGTATTAATTATATTTTAACCATGAAAATGACCATATTACTCTTAGATGACCTCGGGTTCGATTAAAAACTTGAATAATGATTCGGCCCCCGGATTCTAGTTGTTACACATGTATTCAAAGTCGAAAGTGATTGAACCAATTTAATAAGTCAAGTATGGACCACGCATGCATGTTAAGAGTCTCTTTGACTCTTCCCAACCATCTCACCACACAAAATTTGACTCAACTTTTAGGTTAAGAGTAGAACTAGCATGAATACCATGAACACCGACACCAAACAACATGCATAAAACATATATATATATATATACATACACACATATGCATATACAAAACTTGAGTAGTAATATTCACTACACTTCAGCTCAATCTCATAGCTCCAACACACAGCCTCCTCCACTTACTCGTCATCCTTAGCACCATGCTTCTATGCAGCTCCAAGCTATCCGTGGCGACATCCCGCCACTTGCTCGACCTAAAGAAGCCATCTATGCGTTTTGCCTTGGATTTACCATCATTTCTTCATCCTATTTTTATATCGCCGCTGCCGCAAAATATTGAGCCGACATCCTCCATCCCCATGCAACATTCATTGCCATTAATCTTTCAACAGCCTAAAATGCCCAAGGACCATGTGATGGACAACCTTACGCCTATATCAGTACTATTTCCTAGCATCCCAGTTAGCATACCAAACTTTCCATTGATACCAAATCTACCCACCATGCCTTCCATTCCATCCCAACTAACTAGCTACCCTGCACGACTGGATCAGATTCCTGGTTCACCGCTTTCAGCCGATAAGGGAGAGAGGGATCCATGAAGCTCATCATGACGAGGGTTTCAGTTATATGCATGCATGCTAGCTTAAGTTGTACAATGTCCAAACTATACATAGTAAGGTACTGTGTGTGTTGTGTGTGTAGGAGGCTGCAGGGAGCATGTTCATCTTGTGAGCAATGACTGGTAGCTTGTCCCAATTAATAAACAAGGAAATTATTATTGCAATGTTCTCTCCTTATTTTCCTAAATGCTTGTTAATGCATTATATGACATTGTTGTACTCTGGATAATGCTGGTCTGGGAGTATTGAATTAGTACCTTCAATTTAGAATCTAAAGAAATTTAATACAAAGTTTGAGTTATGCAGAGCACACATTTTCTCGCACTTGTCAATCAACAATTGTACAAATATTAACAAGGAAGATGCTGCATGCTCTGCATTAATGAATATATATATATACTTCCTCTGTTCCATATTAGTAGTCCATTTTCCCCTTTAGAATGTCCCAAATTGAATGTCCATTTTGGAAAGTAAAACAAAATAAATGTCATCTTTCCATAATTACCCTTCTAACTTTTCAAAATCTTACAACTTGGTGTTATATATATTTAAAGTTTAAAGGACAACTTAGTAATTTGAAAGGGGACAATGCATTAATTGCATGTCTCCTTAAAAAGTTATAAAACCAAAGATGGACAACTATTAAGGGACGAGGGAGTATATAACTTAACAAAGAACGAAACAAGTGAATGGAAAGCAAATCAAAGCCTCTAACTGAGAAGAAAATAAATTGTAATAAACATCCATCACACCAATAGGGCTCTAGCCTAGATGATGGAAAAACATATTATAAGCCATTTAAGGATAATGGCTAAGTATTACATGCTATTTTAAAAACAATAATTGAAAAATAAGAAGAAATCAAATAGTAAACATGAAGCAGAACAGAACTGGTATCACAGTATGCACCAGAAATGAATTTAACTTGATTGGTGATACAATAATTTAAACAAAAAACTTTTGTTGAGTTAATTGGAAATTGGAATGATGATTATGATACTACAAAAACTGCAGCGCGTATTCTTTTTCAGATTAACTGATCTTATCGTATCATAATAATAATTAGTAGTGGGAGAAAAGTCACAACTCTGCCCATTGTGACTCTGTTCTGGCATTAGATGTGTGAGAATGTTGGTGTCGAATTTGTTATTCCATTTTTAATTCATACAATTTTTTCAAATAAAAATATTTCATTTTGTTATGCACTAGTATTGGTAATAAAAAATATATAAGATTTTGTGAAAGTATCATTTGCATGAGGATGCTGCACCTAACAACTATGTTAGTAAAAAATAAGAGTCGGTTGGGATTTTGTGGTATCATTTGCATGAAGAACCAACCAGGAAACCAAAAAAATGATATATATCATTTGTATGAAGCCTTAGCTTAAGGATTGTTTATATATACCAAGCATTCGTGTCTGAAAATACTATCAAAATTCCTAAACCATCATCTATGGCGGCTTCTATCTCCGGACATCTGGTTCTCTTCTTCTTGGTCATCCTTACACTTTTCACCATTCATGAATGTGAGTAAGCCATAGAATTCCTAATTTGTGTTGGTTACTAAACTCAAAACTTTCTGTCTTGTGCATGAAACATCTTTCTCTCTTTCATATAGTATTAGAGTTTTAACTGCTAATAACTCTGTAGGGAATTAATGGTAACAATTTCAATATGCTGAAAATCAAAATTCTGTGCTCTTTATTTTATCTGTGGTTTCTCTTCTTTCATTTTTCCCACATACAATTAGGTAGTGATAATGGTGGCAGCAGCACAGGCAGAGATGTGCAACTTGAGGTGGATGTGCCAACAGATAACATCAGATTGTTTTTTGCTGTATCAAAATGTTTATTGTCCGGTGGATCAAATCTGCCTGGCAAGCTGTAATTAACAATGTTCATAATCTACTTTCAACATTATGTTATACAATCAATCTTATTGTAAGATACAAATATTGATCTTTGTTATATGCATCTGGGGCTTCAATGGCATGTCCACTGGGAAAAAGACACGAAATGATACACATAGAAGCATATATTAGTGAAAAAAGGAAAATAGTTATCTTTGCTAGTAAGCTATTTTACTTTTTTCACCATAGAATAGCTTTAGCAGATACCATTCAAGCATGAGCAGAGCTTGCAAACAGCCAAATTACTTGTGAGCCGAGCAGGAATTCCTCAGGCTCGACCAACTTGAACGAAGCCTGAGAATGACAAAACTCGGCCAAGCCAAGCATATGAATATCTGCAACTGGTTAATCTCTTTACAATATTGAGCAAGAGAGAGAGAGAACCAACAGAATAATTATTTATCATTAATCAATCACCCTATCTACATACAAAGAGATCCTATGGCATTTACAGGAGCAAAAAATCAAAAAATTGGACATCTTCCCAACAAAAATACAAGATTGAAATCAAAATATATGTGAAAAAAAAAAAAAATAATAATAATAATAATAATAATAATAATAATATAAAAAAAAAAAAGAACTATCAGCACTTGATCCTCAGCTATTAGTGGGTGTTACATGAGCTTAACAATGACTGACAAAGGAATGTTGATCGTGTGACCTTGATGTCCAAAGAGTCCGATTCTTCCAAAGCTTGCAACGGAGTTGTTCATTGTGGCATTAAAGAATACACTCAACACCTGTCTCTCCCCACTTGCAATAGAGAAGTGCAATGGAGTCACCTTTACAGAAACACCATAAGGAGCACTCCAACCCACACTATATGTTTCATTGCCGGCAATGTTGGTTACTGTTCTTTGGACCATTCTAAACTGGTTCAGTTTCGCTATTGTGATTGAAGGTAAGTTCAGGTCTGTGCCATTCATGGTAGAAATCCCACAGCTCTGACCCGTGTAATTTAGAACCACGGGGGCAGATCCATTTATGCCACAGAGAAATGACATATACTCATCGAAACCTACAAAAATTAACCTCATCAAATATAGAATGACTTGCATTTAGTTAAAGGAGAATAGAACTGATGATAATTAATATAGTAATAACCACCAATCTCCTCCTAAGAGTTTTGTAATTTTTACTTCACACTTCTACTTGGGATCTTCTTTTTTTCACTTAAATCAAGTACCTTCATGATATTAATGTTAGTTGACATTGGAGATCTCATAGACCAAAAGTGAAACAAACATAATTGAGATATTGGATCATTCTCAATTGGGATTGAGATTGCAGTTATCATCTTTAGCAAATTTCCCACCTATGAGATCTGAGGTTGGATACAAAAGGACATTTGTGCTAAAAGCAGAAAAAAAACTTACTCAAATCAAAAATAAGACCCGGATCTAGTGCTGCAGTTGCATTCACAAAACCACTTCCCATGTCAAAAGGTGTTGCTGGAGACTGGTTCAAATCTGGGTTGGAATAAGCACGCTGTGCCATTATGGCATCTCCATTCTTGTCATAGAGAGAAGCCGTAGTGGAAAGTGCCGACCCAATAGCTGTTGGACTTAGTGTGGGAAACTTCTGCTTAATTAGGGCTGCAAGCCCAGCAACATGCGGAGCAGCCATGCTTGTGCCAGACATCATTGCAAAGCTTTCACCTAAAAGTTTGGTAAAATTAATTGGTATATTATCAAAAAATATATTTCAAGAAAAACAGTAAACTTTATATGCCACAAAATGTAAATGATTTCTTGTGTTTTTTCATGTGTACCTTGGAATTCAACAGAATCAGTGCCGAGGTAACTCCAAGCAGCCCATATAAAATTACCTGGAGCAACCAGGTTTGGTTTCAGTATGTCAGCATCATCAAGAAAACTGTCCTCCGGATCAGGACCTCTAGCAGAGTAATACATGATTTTTGGAGCAGAATGGCTATACTTTGCTTTTTGTCCGCCTGAAATGCATGCCACTGCCCCAAATTTAACAATTTTCTTTGTAAGTCCATCTCTCTCCAAGGAAGAATTGTAGTATCGAAGCAGGATCTGCCATGTAGATTATAAACGCATCAGTAAGTGCCCACATACACACATGTGACACGCAGGAAGACATGAAAAAAAAAAAAAAAAAACAAAACAAAAACAAAATACAGTATTTGACCACCTCCACCTAAATCTCTAATAGTTTTCACAAAAAGAAAATTACTAATAAAATTTTACACATGCATGGCAAGCGCAAGCACTTGCACGCACGCACTGTGTAAACTGACCTTAGAATCATCTGGAGATGGAATTATAATGCCAGGAGAGCCCATGGGAACTGGGTTGAGCTGAAATCCAATGACAAAAGGATCCATGTAGAACACAACACCAGCTGCACTGAGGTTTTTTGCTGTTTGCAAGGCCTGTTTGATGGTGGAGAGCCCAAGGACAAAACGAATTGAGTAGCTACAGATTAAGAGGTTCCCCTGGACAAGATCTTGATTTAAATTACTGGGATCTTGGCATTCACCGACATACATATCATTCACAGCCACTGTGTCATTCAGAGCATGAAGTGCAGAAACCAGAGTGTACATTGTTTCTTCCTTTGTTCCCGCTGGACAAAAACAAAGGAACGTTACTACATAACAATACATCTGTAGTTATATAATGATAGGCACAGTCCATAGTAATGTATATAAGCCACCAACTGCCATTCATCAAAAGGTTTATTATCCAATGTATTTGCCAATATAAGACACAAATATTGGCAACCTAAGGCCTAAACTATACATTTGAATGTCAACAGAATGCCCTGAAACTCCACTAAAACCTGACCTGGAGCCTAATATGAGGCCAATGGTTTCTTATGGGTCCAGGACCGAGAATAAAATGGATGGACCCAGACCTGGACCCCATCTAACCGTATCTTAAAACAACTCCATGGCAGGAAATCAAACTATAACACTCATATAAATTTAAATTAAAAGAAAATGAAAAGAGGGAAATCCTAATAACAAAGAAAAATGATAAATTTATTTTTCACATTTCTAAGAAAGAATTTAACTGTAGAATTGAATAATCTTATTGCATATTGAAGTTGATGTAGCTGAGTTTCTTCAACATGATGCCTCTTAAGGAAAAATACACTTCTGTACTTCATTTCTTGTTGTGTGATATCACAAGGTGAAATTCTATGTACCTCTGCTATGAATTGTGGTCCTTAAAATTTAAACAAAAAATAATAAAATAAAATATTGAAACCCATCCAATCTTGAACTGTTCTTTCTCATACTAATTAATGGGTTTTGCATAATAATTTTAGTAACACTGCATGCTAAATGAGATTGAAATATACACAAGCCTAAGACTCGTTGGAATTATCAGACAGGACCAAGATCGGATCTAATCGAAGTAATGCAGGTACTCAGCTGATGGATAGAGAAGAAGAGTCCCAAGTACCATTCCACTAGATTACAGTTAAACACTAGGATACCAGAATGTGGGTCCGTTGAAAACTGAAAACAGCCATGTTTTTTTTAGAAAAAATGCTGTTTCCATTTCAGAAAAATTCTCAAAAGAAGGTAACAGGTTGTTGAAAATGATACAACAAGCCCTTAATACTTACACATGCGGGATCAACAAATATAAACTCTAGATTTGTTCCATGATCTTGCAAAAAGAACATAAAGATGAAGAAACCAAAAAATCTGGAACTCCAACTTACGTGCAAGTCCAACACCAGGGAGAGTGACATTGTTGCCAAGGATTATTGAGTTACCATAGACCCTGTCATGAGTGGCAGCACCAACAGTGAAGATCCACGGACTGAAGGATGCAATACTCTTGGGTGATGGTCCAGTATTACCCGCTGCTTGTACGACAAATATACCAGCCTTAACAGCTGACAGCAATGCCATGTCTATGGGATTAAAAAAAGTTGCAATTCCAGGAGGTCGCCTGTTGGGAGTGATTGATAAGCTTATAATGTCCACTCCATCCTGAGCCGCCTGTGGATACAATAGTGGCAAAGTAAAATACAGTGCGTTAAATGGATAGCCATCTACAAGTAAGGCTGTAGATCACAAAATAGGCCGGTAGCACCAAAGGGAATGTTGATGATGACTAAAGAATAGAGGGTGTTAATGCACGTCATCTTATAAAGGAACAGATGATGGCATGTACAGACGTGCCATCAACCACTTTATAGTCCAGCCCTTGTGGGATTTAATAGTAATTAAGTTTTGAAAGAAATTCGATAGTAATTAAGTTTTGAAAGAAATTCGATAGTAGCGTTAATAACAATTTAATTTTAGTTAATAGATTTCTGAAGCTTGAATGTTTTTTTTTTTCAAATAATCAGAAAGAAAAAGAAGATAAAACACTAACTTCCACCAATTATAGATCTAAATTATAATATTTGAGAATCAACAGCTCTCCTTTAATATCAGAGTAGAAACATGGCAAAATGACGTCATAGGAGCGGCAATTGAGTACGACATTAAGTGAAAAGCAACAAGTTGAAATCAGAAAAAAGAAAGGAAAAGTAGATCATAGACTCTTAATCAATTGCAGCATCTTGTATATATGTAAGAAACATGCAATAGAATGATAATGAAATAATAGCCAATGACAGGAGGAAATCCTACTAACGTAATAAATATTCACAACCATCTTGAAAATTGATTACATAGCATGTCCTCGCTAACTAATCGGCGTGTCTTGTACCAGAAGTGGCATATAGGTGTTGTAGATAAAAATCAAGCAATACAATGATAAATATTCACAACCATCTTGAAAATTGATTACATAGCATGTCCTCGCTAACTAATCGGCATGTCTTGTACCAGAAGTAGCATATAGGTGTTGTAGATAAAAATCAAGCATCCTAAGGCAAGTTCTTTCCACTGATAAAAACTTCGACCCCCCCTCCTCTTTTTCCTTAAATTTTGCAGGTCTTCTGCTTTCCGCTTTTCTTTCAAAGCATCTTATATTGATCATTCCAACTATTTTCAAACTTTAATCCCATTCTTACTCATTATTCACACACACACACACAAAAAAAAATAAATAAATAAATAAAAATAAAAAAAACCATGCTTTTTACCTAAAAATTAAGAAAAATGTGAGGATCAATGGGAAAGAAAGACATATGGACATACAAAATCTACTTTTCACAAATTGCACAGTGGCAGGTTCTCAACCTCCTTGAATGTGAATCATGCTTGTAGAAGTAGATCTTCCTGAAAAAATAGATCAAACCACATGCAACATACCTGGTCTATTGCAGCAACAACATCTGCAGCAAAGCCTCCAAAGCTCCTATACAGCGCCTTGTAAACAGCAATGCTGTAAAAGATTTGGATGTAGTTAATACATAAACTGATGCAGATCATATTGGGCCTCACTCACCTCATGTTATACAGACTTACTTTAGGCGCGCAGACACACAGGATTTTTTTGATTCGTTTTATGTATTTGTATTTTGGGGGATTTTCATATTAAATTTGGAGTTATTTTAGCACTACTTCATCAAGGTCTCTTTGGGTTGCCTATATAGATACATATATATAGAGAGAGAGAGAGAGAGGCTTATGTAATCAAAATTGAGCATTTTTTTTGGATTGATACTGTGGTATTGGGATTTCTGTGTTTTCTCTTTCTCAGCTTTCTCTCCTCTCTAACCTCTCTCTGTTCTATCTCATATCACTTTTGCTGCTGCATCATACACACACAAAGGTATGTAACTACGAACATGGAAACATAATCAAATGATCAACGGCATGTAAAGCTATAAACACTTAGATTCCAAGAGGCATATTTTGGTTCGGATATCAAAACTGTGATTTTGGTGTTCCAAAAGAAATATTCAAAGGAAGCACGACTACTCAAGAACTTTCAGACATAAATGAAAATGGCTTGTTGAAAACCACAAATATATGAGATATCATTTCAAATTTTGTTCTGATACTTAATGATTTTAAAATGAAAAGGTGGCATCTAACATTTGATAAATTACTGAAAAGTGAGATGCTGTTTGATGACATTTCAAAATTATGATATTTAAAAAATATATACAGTGTAAATTGTCCCAAAGGTTTTGAATATTACATCAACATTCCTTTTTCTCTTCAGATTTTGGCAAATTTTTTGAATTTTCAACCTAAGTGTACCCAAGTAAAGTCAAACAGAACATACAAAATAAAAAATAATAATTAAAGAAAATAAAATGTCCAATTTACCCTTCATAAAATAAACACTCCCTCATAAAATAAAGTCAAAAGCATTTTTGGTCGCATCGGTTCTTGTTATCGGTTGAGGTTAGGAGTTAGTTGAGCCAGTACAAATAGAGAGACCAGCCCTACGAAGGAATTTCCCTAATCTTTCATCTATCTATCGGATAGGTAAATGGTAGGCCAAGATCTCCTATACATATAAAGTCAAATTTGTCTTTTTTGAAAATGTCCAATTTACCCTTCATAAAAATAAACACTCCCCCTCTCCCTCTTTTTAGAAATTTTTTTTTTTTTTTTTTTTTTGTTTCCCTAAGTGAACTTCATTGACAACAAACAACCACTACAAAAACCGAGGGTAAGACAGATTTCTTGTTTGTTCCAGGTTTTCTAATGAGTGCTATTAGTGTATGTGAGAAGGCTTTTTAAACAGAATGGAATCTTAAAGGAGAGGTCCAACATTGCTCCAAGGTGTGTAATAAATATTAATAATGGTGGTTATGGACGTCCATGAAGGAGGGGGCTGTGAAGGTGATGGTATAATTCTATGGTTAATGGAAGTTTGGGATACAATGAAGCGGATGGAGAGAAGGAACTGTGAAGGTGATGGTATAATTCCATGGTTAATACAAGTTTGAATTATAGTGCACAGGGTGGGGGGAGAGAGAGAGTAGTTGGGTTTTTATCTTTCATAATTCAATCCAATGAGTTGCCCAGAGTTTAAAACATTTTTCTACAATGTTGAGACATGAATCACCGAAGTTAGGCAAGAAAAATGTTTCACTGCTCATGCAAGTGTTTCTGAACACCAAGGTCCTAACCACCCCAACACTAATCTTAATTTCTTCGGTATGTCCTAATACTGACTGTAGAATGAATGTTCTATGGCAAAAGCAGTGTCATAAATGTGTTATCTTGCAACAATAGAATGTTTCCAAAAAATCAGTAACTCCTAGTCTATCATGGTGTACCTATCGTCCGAGGCAGATGTTAATGGTGCCGAGCCCAATTCTATGGAAGTATATCTAACAAGACAGAAAATTGGACCATTTTGTCAAAATGAAGGGATATATGTTGCAGAAAAAAAATATAAAAAAATAAAATAAAAATATAAAAAAATAAAAAATAAAAAAAATTAGGTTAAGATCATTACTGTGAACGAGGAGCCATTCCACTAGCATTCCCAAAGTGATGCCCAGCTACTACCACTGGAATTCCATGGTTCCCTGCTGCAATGGAAGCTGTGTGCCTGTAAAATTTTGAATAATCAGCTATTGCATATATCTGAATTAAACCAATGTATTAATAGATTTGTAACAACATGGAAATAAAATTTTGGCAAATAAAATGGACTCAGGCCAAATGCTACAATTGTTTAACTACTTTTGTGGGAAAAAAAAAAAAAAAAAAAATGATCGAATAAAGGTAAATACGCACGTCCCGTGGCCATCACCATCAAATGGTGACGCATAATCCTGAGATGCATTGAAAATTCCCCTGGTTATAGCAGATGCTGCAAAATGGCGAGCCCCAATAAGCTTTCTGTTGCAGGACCCAGATGGGAATTCGCGAGTGACTTCACAAATGCCAGAAAAGTGCTGCGGAACTGGATATGAATTTTCAGATACTTCATCGGAGAAGCTGGGATGAGTAGGATCAATTCCGGTATCAATAAACCCAATCACAATTCCTTCTCCTGCAGAATCATATCCACCTTCTTGGGCCCAAGCCCCTTGAGGTAGTCCCAGAAACTGTGGTGTATGAGTGGTTGCAGTTCTAACTGAGAAATCCAAAACCACATTTGCCACTTCTCTCCTCCTCGAAAGCTTCTCAACCTTAAAATATCATCAACTTTATAAGATCAATAACTTGTAAGGAAAGAAGCATCAATGAAAACATGAGGAAGTTTCCATGAATACGGGAGGATTAGAGAATCAACATATCTATATGCAATTATGCAATAATGAATTTATATACATTCATACACACACGCATGTATAGCTAGTTAAGAAAGTCCCATTGCTATTTCTACAATGATAATGATGAACATTGCAACATCACGAGACAAGACTATACCTGCTGGGGAGTAACGAGCACAGCAAATCCGTTGATCAAGTAGTGGTAGCTATATAGCTTTAGATATCTCTCCCCTCTCAAAACCCTCCTCAACAATGAATCATGAACTCGGGAAACATACGAACCATACCGCCTATCTTTTCTTGAAATATTCCTAAATTGGGAAACAATACAGAAATCATGATTCCACAGTAAGACTTCCACAATTTTGCAGATTAATTAAAACATATTTCCAAATTAAAAGAGAGAGAATTAAGAGGGGAATGTAGAATACAGGAAAAGCATAAAAACTCTAATATCAAACACAATAATAAGTGTTGGGTAAAAAGGGTAGCAATTACTAAACTAATTAGAGAAGTTCTCATTATATTACCCTTGCAAATATTATTTAGAGAGAGAGAGAGAGAGGGGAAAGAAACAAAAATTACACAAATTTGTTAAAAATGTCTCAACAGACAATAAATTCACCAGTTAAAAACAAAGAGAACAATCAATAAAATAACTTTGTTACCTAACTAACCAAAAATTAAAACTTTTTTACTTAAAAAAAGTAAGATGATAGAGAAACTCCAACAAACCCATCTCAACCCCAATACAAATACCCTATTTCGATATACCATATCTGAATGAAAACAAGAAGTTGTAATTGTAAACATAAGAACAAGAGAAAAGCATATAGCAATAAAAGCAATCAATTTGAGCTGATGAGCACACACGACAAAAAGTTATTTATTAAATAAATAAACAAAAAATAGTACCTTGGTGTGTCCATTCTATTTACTCTCCCTGAAGAACCATGATTGGTTCCATTTACTCTCCCTGAAGCACCATCTTTGAAACCATGACCTTTCACTTTGAATTCATCATAGTAATGGTGGGAAACGGGTACTTGTTTCATAGTGACAATATACACAGCAGTAATTGCATCTGCATTGTCCTGACACCAACTGCAACCCATCAACATCCCTAAGCAAATCACCATCATTAATTGCAACCCATAAAGGCTCTCCATTTGGGCTCACTAAAAATCAATCCAGACCCAAAAAATTTTCCCAGGAAACAAACAGTGAGAGACCCTCAAAAGGAGGAGGAAGAATGAAAAAAGGAAATCTTCAATGACAACAACAACCCATGTTTAAGCGCAAGGCTCTGGTTTCTCTAATGCCCATAGGAGCCAAGTAAAGCAAATCCACAACACTAGAGACCGTTCTGCACTAGCTAGACTCGCTATAACGAGGAACTCCAAAACCTCTACAGATATGGTCAGAGAAATTTGACAATGTGGGTTTTTTTTTGCAAGAGGAAGAACCTCTTTGTACACTAGAGAGAGAGAGAGAGAGAGAGAGAGAGAGGAGTGAATTTTCTTGGGAACTGTGAATATGAACGTTTTGTTTACTGATAAAAAAAATAATAATAAAAAAACCAAAAAAAAGAGAGAGACAGAAATGATCGTTTTGTTTTGGTTTTATTCCAATTTCGACTGTTGGGGGTTTAGTGTCCTTTTCCTCCGGTGGGTATATGTGGAAATGAATGATATTCTTTTTTGTTATTTTTATCCCGTAAATGTTATTCTTTAGATATTACTACAATAGGATTTTTTTTTCTTTTTTTTTTGTTTCAATCTTCAATAAGATTTAAAATTTTAATGACGTACTATAAGTATAATAGCAAAAACTTGTAAAGAGTGAAAATTATTCAATTTAGTTTATTAATTGAAGTATATCCAAACAATAATTATTATTAATTAAGAAAAATAAGGGAAATGTTAGGTATTAGTAGGAATTAGTTACATTCTAAATCAATATTTTTTTTTAACTTATCTGATATATTCACACACTCCTTTAAAGAATTATTTGTGTTCAAAATAAGTCAAATTTTAGACCTATTCTTTTTGAGGCACCAAAGCCAAGTGATTTGCCCACTTAAATCAATTCCTAGGATTAAATAAGATCAATATTAGGTATTTTGATATAATTAATTAAAGTACATTTTAAATCAATGTATAAAATAATAACACTTTTCTAAGAAAAATAATGGTAATGGTAGGTACCACGACACTTCAACACTAGTGTCTCACAATGGTTATAGGTTTCACCAAAAATAAAATTTAAATATTCAGATTAATGTTAAAAAGCTATAAACCAAGGGCTTGGATTAATCTAATCTCCTTGCAAATGCAAGATTTAGGGTCCAAGAGTGGAGAGCTTAAAAGGAGTGCATTCAATTCCTTTTGGTAAAAGTAGTTAATACAAGGCTTTGATTATTATTAGTGAAGCATAATAATATATTAAGTCAAAGTTTACGGATAGGGGGTCATGAGTCATGTGGTGGACCCATATTGGAAAGGAAAATGATGATGGGTGGTTCATCCCCTTTGCCATTTTCTATGTAATGTAATGGTGGTTGTCCATTCTTCCCAACGTTCTAATTTTTTAAGATCTAGGGCAAAAAGTGGTCTTATGAGTTCTCTCTCTCACTGGCTTCCTCACCCGTGACCTAGAGAGAGAAACAAGAGAGAGAGAGAGAGAGAATGGGAGTCTTGTGGGGGGACTGGGTAAAGACGGTGGTGTGGTGAGCACTCTTAAAGCACATGTGAAGGTGGGTGTCACGTAAGATTCTTAGTTTTAGTTAATGGAGTAACTTTATTATAACACCCTAAAATTTTGGATTGAAGTCCATTCAACATTCCTCTATTTTACATTTTAATTGCAATTTGGTGGACATGTTAATTTAGATTTGGGTCAATGTTCAAAGGAAATTTTTTATACCAGTAATAAATTTTGAATATTCAGATCAACCTTTATAAAATAAATATTAGATTTGGAGAAAGCTTACACTATAGTTACTTGATCATTATTTTTTTAAAGACAACAAATTCAAATACTACTAGGCTATTTTTTTGTTGGTAAATTACATTAAGCTCCCAGTGAGATTTGAGTAAATTTACTTGAATAAATCGTTCAACATTTATTACTTTAACCTTTTATAAGATTCGGTGCATGTGCTCAATGACACATTTAACGTTGTTGACCAATATTTATAAAATAACAATATGCCCATCTTTGTTTGAATACAATATAATATATTATTATTATATAAGGGCATTATTGACTTTTCACGCTTAAATTAACTTTCTGGCAATCAACGGAAAGGCTTTGGGAAAGTCAAAGTAATAATCTAGAGTGAGTTAGGTAGTCCAATTGGTAATAGCACTCCCCTGAGTTGTGCGGTGACCTAGATTCGACGCACGCATCCTTCCCTCTCCCCCTCCTTACCACATTCCCAAAAAAAAAAAAAAAAATAGTACTAAATTCTAAACAATTTACTCGTATGTAATTTGTTTAAACTTTAAGGGTGGTGAGTGTAATTTATTTATTTATTTAATTTAGCGACAATACTTCTGTTTTTTCTTTTTCTTTTTTTCTGTTTTGGGTTGTTGAGCCACATAGGTCCAACTCCCTCAAGAGTGAAAAATCAACCTGCAACTACTAAAATCAGTGGAAGAGTTAAAAGGATTCTGTCACCGGAATAATTTTCCATCTATGCACTTTTTGAGTAAATTTTCTTTGTGGTTTCCATCTTCCCAAACAAGTCCAAGTGGTGGGTCATGCTATAATTCCTTTCTCCACCCAACTGTTTGCATAAATAGTCGTTAGAGAGTTCTTTGTATGCTGGAGATATGAGAATCTGATTCCATGATCGCTATAAATCCTTTTTCTTTTGTTTTCAATGATGACCTTTTATAAAACACACTGCCAAATTTAGTGTGTGTGTGAAAAGTAATTTGATAGAAATCCTAAGTATGAATTGATAGTGACAAAGATAATAAAAACAAAACAAATTATTGGAATAATTTGTGTAATTAGAAAACTTTTAAGTATAAAAGACAATTTCAGTACCAAATGTTGATAGATAATATGAAGTTAATAATAGTTCCATTAAAGAATAAACAACTTTTCTAAAAGAACTTTATCAACTGTCCCTTACTCCTTAGTGGATTTTGATTTTTTTTTTATTTTTTTCTTCCTTTTAGATAAAGTTAATAATTCCTGTCCTTATGCCATCATAATATTGTGCTACTGTTTTCATTTTGCAACTTCCCTAGAAGCTACCCTTGATCTAAAGTCAAAAGGGAGAGAAAAGTATATTTAGAAATTAATTAAATTTGTCCAAAGAAAACTTTCCTATTAACCATTAGGATGGCAACGGGGGTGGAGCTCGGACGGATTTAACTAAACCCTATTTCATTCTGTTAAAAAATTTATTATACTAACTTCACACGTACTGGACGGATTTATAGTTGATATACCATTTCCGCTCCTACTCCGACAAATAAAGTACCAACTCCGCCCCGTATACTTTGTTTAATTATAGGGTAAGATGGATTATGTCACTTTTATTATTTAATAAAATAAAATTAACCTACTATTATACTATACTCAAATTAGGCTGATAAATAAGTTGGTCCAATTTTAAAATTACTAAGTAGTGTATATTTAATATATTTATGGACACTTCAAGCAAAGTAATTAATAAGGTCTTAAAAATATTAAATATATATTTATAAATTTTTTATAGGTATATATATAATCAGTAAATCCGCCCCCACCCTAAACCTGCTTCTGGTTTTCAATTATTTTACTATATTCATTTCAAACCCATTTTATTGGCTATCAAATCTACCCCATTAGAGGCGGAGCGCGACGAAAACCCGACGAGTAGGTGGAAATTGCCATCCCCACTTACTAGTTCAAGGAAAAGAACAAATTATTTTTTTATTACTCAAATGACAATAAAAACTCTCTAAAAAATAATAATACTAATAATAATTTATAATCTTATTCTATATCTTTTTATATCAAAATTACATCCATAAACAGACGTGTAAAAGAAATATCATTCATCATCCATAAATATATTGAGATCACTTTGTTAGAGTTGAGAAAATTTTCAAATATGATTTTCTTATTGTACAAATATATAATGATATAAATTTATGTTACTGAAACTTTGATGGAAATTTTATGAATAGCCCGTTTTTGTAACTTTTCTACTATCTTAGAGATAATTTTATGCTTATTGTATCTGTTATATATCAATTTTGAAATTGGCTAATCGGTATTAAAATTGGCTAATTTTATTTATAATATAATTAATGGTTTCCATTACTTACTGTATTGGACTAATAAATATGAAATATAATTCGTCATGCTTTTCTGATATATATGTTACTACTATTTAATAAAAATTATAAATATAATTTGAGTATTATTATTGTCTTATTTATTCTCATTATTAGTATATTATTAATTCTATATTTAAGGTACAAAATTGTTACCACTTGAATTCTATAAATAGGTGATTTCTAATATTCAATGATACGAGACATACTTGAGTGAGACATTTTTTTGGGGGTGTAGGGCTGTGAGCCCTATTATAATAAACTAATTATTTTTCTCTTTCTCCATACTTGAAATACTATTATAGATATAGGGGAGTATTTTATATTGAGTTTTGGACAACTCAGAGACACCAGATTAATACAACTTTGTCTCTCTTCGGATATGCCTGGAGAAAATCACTGGTGAATATGAGTTGTATCTTAGAGGCGTATTAAACCGCTATTACCTGCACGTAGGGATGTCATACAACTTTGAGATAGTGCTCGCATGTCTATCACTATCCAGGCTGATTTTTTCTAACTTACTTTATTTTTATTGTTTTTCTTAATTTATATAATTGAATATTATATTGTTGAATTATTTGTGTTATTGAAATTCTAAATTCATTATTATATTCATGTTATTCCAATTGATGTAATATTCATTTTAATAAAAATATTTGTGATTTATGTATCCATTGATATACTCTTTTTTGTTATGACTCGTGTATAATTAAATTTGAATGTGTTATATTCTTAATGTGTTCTAATTTACGTGCAAATTTTCCAACAATATATAATAATAATAATTTGTCTCTTTACCGAATTCTAAAAATAATACATTTGTGTTTGAAAAAACAAATAAGATAAGATATAGGTTTTCCCTTTCTTTTTAGTGTATTTTATCATTTTTGGAGTGGGGATTCTTATTTTCCCCATCGACTCGTTTGTCACAATCACCAAATCAGTGGGTTTGTTCGTTTTGTCCTCCTATCTACGCAATTCTCTATTTTCGTTCATGATCATGTTGGGCAAAAGGTAGTTGTATAAGAGCCGCTGTGAGAAACGGCGATTCCCCCTTTGAAGTAGGGAGGCCCTCATTACCCATCATTCCGGCTTATTATTGATGGGGATTTGACCGATGCTGAAGGTAGCTTGCTTCCCAATCCACCCATTTTAGAAGCGAGTCGCCAGAAAGAAGCGACTAGGAAACAAAGTTATCGTAGAAGCTTTTCTTCAGATATGCCTGGAGAAAATCACTGGTGAATATGAGTTGTATCTTAGAGGCGTATTAAACCGCTATTATCTGCACGTAGGGATGTCATACAACTTTGAGATAGTGCTCGCATGTCTATCACTATCCAGGCTGATTTTTTCTAACTTACTTTATTTTTATTGTTTTTCTTAATTTATATAATTGAATATTATATTGTTGAATTATTTGTGTTATTGAAATTCTAAATTCATTATTATATTCATGTTATTCCAATTGATGTAATATTCATTTTAATAAAAATATTTGTGATTTATGTATCCATTGATATACTCTTTTTTGTTATGACTCGTGTATAATTAAATTTGAATGTGAGTCTTAATGTGTTCTAATTTACGTGCAAATTTTCCAACAATATAT